GGTTTTGATTATTCCGGAGAGAGGTTTGGGATATGCGGTTTATTATGATGCCTCACAAGAGGGTTTGGGTTGTGTGTTGATGCAAGAGGGGAAAGTGGTAGCCTATGGCTCACGCCAGTTGAAATTACACAAGAGGAATTACCCTACACATGACCTAGAGTTAGCAGCTGTCATCTTTGCTTTAAAGATTTGGAGGCACTACCTTTATGGTGAGAGGTTCGAGGTGTTCTCGGACCATAAGAGTTTGAAGTATCTGTTTACACAGAGAGACTTAAATTTGAGGCAGAGGAGGTGGATGGAGTTCATTGAGGATTACGATTTCGAGTTGCACTATCACTCGGGGAAGGCCAATGTTGTGGCTGATGCCCTTAGTAGGAAGTCCATTAATGATGTAGCTTGTATAGCCATCTGGGAATGGGAGATGCTGGGCGCACTTGGCGAGTTTGACTTGCTTCTGGGCGAATCCGTTGAGGCTACGGCCTTGTTTTCTGTTGTTGCGCAGCCTACACTTGTGACTCGAGTGTTAGAGGCGCAGGAAGGTGACCTTGAGGTAGAATCCCTTCAAGAGAAGATCTCTAGTGGGAAGGTTGAGAAGGGTTTTTCTGTGTATCCCGACCTGAGTGTGAGATACCGAGACCGTCTGTTTGTGTCGAAGTCTTGCCGAGAGGAGGTACTTCGAGAGTTTCACCATTCACGCCTTGCGGTGCATCCGGGAGGCACCAAGATGTATCGTGATTTGGGTCACTAGTTTTGGTGGCGGCGCATGAAGAGAGATGTGGCAGTTTTCGTATCAAAGTACCTTACTTGTCAGCAAGTGAAGGCCGAGCATCAGAGGCCAGCGGGTTTGTTACAACCCTTGCCTATTGCCGAGTGGAAGTGGGAGCATGTCACTATGGACCCATAAAGCGCTGCGGTGCGATCCAAACAAGGGGCAACTTTCCGTTGCCACTCGATGCGCTGCAAGGCCATTCAGACAAGGGGCAGCTTCCCGTCGCCATTCAATGCGCCGTGGCGCCGTCC